AACAAAATTCTTACAAACACATTTTTCTTGATTAGTCACATTTCAATATACAAGTAAAAGTAAGCGCCAATATATAACTATTCAGACTCAATTTGACTTACAATATGAGTATCGACAGGGGTCTTCTTGTTTTTTGAGGTTTAACGACAAAATAATGGTTATGTTATGGTTTATGGCTTTTCAAAAAATTGAAGGAATATTTTAATCACCTAATATACCTCTCGTTATGACGATGACGAATAATCGGAATAAGTAACTTTGCAAGTGAAACAGAAATGTCGTTCTTTGCTCTCTGATTAACACAACTAATATGTGACTATTATTTATAATCAAGTGCTTGCACACTTTTCTTTTAATAAATTACTTCACAAAAATCAGTTTGGTTTTAGCAAAGGTAAATGTATCACAGACGCTGAAATTGCACTTCTGAGACATAATATCTATGATGCTTGGGAGAATAAATAACATGCTTTCGGCTTTGTTAGCGATCTGTCAAAGCATTCGACTGCGTTAGTCATTAAACACTGTTTGGGAAATTAGAGCATTATGATGTGACGAAAAATTCACCTCATCTAATAAATCATATCTTTCTGTTAGAATTCAAAAGTAGTAATTAGGTAATAAACGAAATCTGCGGCGGCACCCATTACTATGGGCGTACCTCAGGGATCGGTATTAGGACCATTGATTTTTCTTATTTAGATTAATGATCTTCTTCACTTTACACTTTACGGTTTAGTTTATTTCTCAGACAAATATTTAAATAAATAAATATTTTGACTGTTGCCTCTCAATCACACATCTATATAAAAATATTATGTACGCAAGAAAACATTACTATTCCTTCACAAAAAATAGTAGTGTTCATAATCTTAACACAAGAAATAAAAATAAACTTGCCGTTTCAAGCTTCAGACTTCAGAAAACCTGAGGATAATTTCTGGGTAAATGCATTGCTATGTTCAATAAAGTTCCACAAAATGTAATTGTTCTACCCATAAATAAATTTAATTCATGTAAATAACATACTTATGAGTAAAGGTTATTATAAAGTTGATGATTATTTTAGCTTCGCTTTGTTCTATAATGACTAATTATATGTATAACTTATGCCCTACAGACTTTGAAAGTTGTATTTATTATTGTGATAATACATATTATTTTGGTAATGACATGATTTATGTTAATGTCATTACTTATGATAAAGCGCTGGTAAGTTTCTTTCGCTTGTTCTTCTTGTCAGCTAAAATACATTTTTTTTTGGACAATTTAAAAGTGCTTGAAATAAGCTTACTTGATTAAATATATTTTCATTTCATTTCATTTCACTAGAATTTTATTTTATGTTATGTTTATGTGTAAAAATGTGAGTCCAGCAGGAAGCGTGCCTATCCTGATCTCTTAAAATCAGATAAATCGCTTCCAGGGTGCACCTTGCTCCGGTGCGGCAAACGAATGCTTCCACTCAGTCACAAGCTTTTGATCCACCTGAATCCGCATATAGTTTACAATAGGTTAGATCGAAGCCTTCTTGATAGGTTAGAAAAGTTTCGTTAATGTAGGCGTCGCCCTAATCAGTCTCTCTTTAAAATGGGTATCAAGACAAGACCGTCCGTCCGTCCAAAATAAGCCTCCAGATAAAATGGGCTTAACTGGGCTCATTCTCTATACCAGGAAAGCCCTCTAAGGTACTTGTGGGGTTCTTACATGAACAAAGTGGAAAAAAAATTAAAACACTGTTTGGTCTTAACCGTCGTAAATGTCGGAACTTGTTATTTTTTTTTATATTTCGGTGATACGTTATAGAAGCTCGATATAATCCTATACGTGAATCTAATATAATTTCTTCTCCATCAATCGTCCTGTTAGCGACGGATTATACAATAAATTTATCAAAGACTCCTTTTACGCTACTAATAGTATAAGGACGGCTTCGGGTGAAAATTGAATTAAGCGTTGTGCACACGCGCGAATACCCGTTGATTGGAAACGCGCCCGGGCGGTTATCGCGCGCCTGCACGCAGCAGATGCGACGTAATAGGATTCGTATACACTGGTGTTGTTTTTAGTACGTCTTTATTTGGAAAAGTAAGAAAAGAACAATCTGTGCAAAATTAAGGAAATCCTTCATCTTAATAAAAAAAAATAAAGTTTTTGTCTCTGTGTGAAGGTCATTCAATGTGTGGACGTGACCGTGTTAATTATTGTAAAATACTGCTCCGCTTATGTAGGCTTATTTTAAAAGTTACGATCGATAACTACGATTTATTATTACCTACGTGCAGTTATTTATTATTGAACTTGGATTGTGTTTCTTGGTTTATTGTGCGTATGAAAAACTTGATTGGCACCTAAAAACGGTATTTGAATAAAAGATTCAATCTACCGGCGCATTTGTAGTTGACAACTGTGAGAATTAATAGAACGTGTAAGTGACGTCTATTGGGGCCGTCTATTAATTACGTGATCTTTTTCAAAATTTTTTAATCCCCCCTCCCCTTGGTGATACATGGTGAGATTTAAGACTACCCCTCCACTCATATCACGTGTATTTTTTAGTACCTTCAAAAAATCTTGATTTTTGACGTCGCTTTTCGGTTAAGCAATCGCGCGTCTGAGAAAAAAATAAATTAACGTGATATATTACTACCCTCCCTCCCCCATGTGTTATTTCGTGATTTTTGACAAACCCCCTTTCGGGCCTCACGTGATTAAGGGACGGTCCCATTTCACGGCGCTTTAGTTCTTTTTCTTAGTAACCTTTTGGATTTACTATGCGGTGTGGTAGGCATGAATTTTTATTATATTGATAGAACAGCTCAACAGCAGCCCTACCTTAAAAAACTGTTGTTCTTTTTGTCGTTTGTTCGAGTCTCTAAATAAATAACCAGTTAATCAAATTGAGTGACTAAATTCATTTACTGTAGTACATATATGCAAAAAACAGTTTCAAACAGTCTTTCTATGTCTATTTATGTGATAAAAGAATAAAAATGTAAATGCCCACAGTAAAAGCACAGCTCCAAAACCTCAAAGAAAGATTGCACTTCAATACGGAATGTAAAGGAGAAATAAGAGTTTACGGTTTACAATTCTCCGCCGTCCGTAATATCTAAAACAAGAGATGATGTTCGTGAAATTGGAAAAGACGTTATAAGGAATGAGTTTGGTGATATGATAAAAAGTATGAGTGGAAACTTGATTGAAACGATACATAATGAAATACAACCTATGCAGGTAGAAATAACGGTAAAAGTTAAAAAGGTTCATGACAATAATCAGAAGTTGAGAAATACTATTAACGATTTTAACTATCGTCTGTCCTCAACGAAAATCGTTGAATTCTACACAGCATATGTTGAGGATGAAAAACGTAGAACTTCAATGCTTACCCGAAAATAAAATGATAATCTCAATAGTATAGTCGAGCATTTGGGTTCGGTGATAGGCGTTATAAAGAAAGGCGATATTGTTCGATGTACTCGCACTGCTAAAATAACTTCCACAAGCCAACGCACGTGTTCTACTGTTGTCCGATTCGTTACTGGCATGCTTCGTGATGAGTTTTAGCTTCAACAATATACAATAAAAGCCATAAAGGAAAGATTAACGGCGGGCAGTTTGAATACGCTGGTAACAAGACTCCTATATATGTCACCTCTCAATTCTCTTCACTCCAAGTTGGTAATATAGGATTTCATGCTGCCAATAGAATCAAAGCTAAAGGAAGGGATTTAAATACATGTGGGTTAGGCAAAATATTTGTACGTTAAAGTGAAGATAGTGCATGTATACCAACACATAAAAAATATGGATTCCCTTAATAAAATGTAATAATTAGATTGTTCTATCTATAAGAATCTTTTATATTGACCATTACTTTTTTATTATTATTTTAAAATTCAATGCGTAACTTTGGTTTTGCCTGTGGAAAAGAGGGAGGTGGGGTACTTATTGCAGTCCAGAAAAATATAGATTAAAACACATCAAATCTTTATTTTTATCGTGTTTTTTATGGCGGTTTCCAGCGTTTTGCTTAGGGCGCCAAGTTTCATTTAGCCGGCGCTGGTTTACTGTTTTACATTTTTTGTATCCGAAATCTCTGGTAGCAATAAATTTTCGGGTAAAGCTTTTACGTCGTATCAACACCGGCTTTAAGATGTCGCCATCAGTTTTCAAATATCTATAATACGTGTGCTTTCACTACTGCATATACTTGTATGTGATATTTTCTAAATTATATATTTATTAAAACACTAGCTTTTGCCCGCTACTTTGTCTACGTGGTGTAGTTACTTTGGGCAGCATGTCCAAAAGGTAAAATATCTGAATTTAAAGTTTCAACACTTATAATAAAAAGTAACTTTTGTCCTATCTCAAGTTAACTGGGCTTAGTGGTTTAGGCGTGAGAGTATAACATAAATCTACACAGATTTACTTTCGCATAATAAAACGATGCTCGCTCATAATAAATAAGATAATAATAAGAGATTATCAGTTGGCGTTGATCACAATTTACGACTTTTAAACTTATTGAAATGACAAATTAAATTTTAAACAATGGTTGATATGGTATCATTTTGTTTCCCCATGAAAACTCCCGCTTCAGTTGTTATCCCTTTAAGTGCTGGTTTTCGGGATAAAATACCTTCTCAGAGTCTTAAACTACTCAAATACCAAATTTCATCGATATAGGTCCAAATACAAAGAAGTTTCATACAAACGTTTTCACCCTTCTTAACTCCCTTCGGGTGGAATTTCCAAATATCCGTTCTTATTACTCGTCTACGTAATAAGAGGAACGTCCCCTTTAAATTTCAAACCTCTACGACCAGTGGTTTAGGCTGTGCGTTGTCTGTCAGTCAGTATGTCAGGACAGTAGATAAGAAAGGCTCAAGCAAGCATCGTTGACTGTGTGAAAAGAGAGAATACTCTATTTATTATATTTGTGCATTTTGTCGCTCGTATGAAATGCTCTAGTATGATCACGGGCTAAAGACATGCGTCTTTGGCCGCCATGTGGCGGACGGGTACTGACAATATCACAGCAGACACCGTCCATCCGCCGCCGCAGCATGGGCTCGCCGCCGCTGCCGTCAGCACACGGCGCTATCGCCTTCGCGCTCGTCTATTTTACCTTCTTTTTGGACAACGTTCTTCTGACTGTTCTAGGTCAGTAACTAGTAACAACAATCGAAGACGAATATTTAATTAGTGTTGGTAGAGGTTATTAACATTTTTTTCAAGATCATATAGGTACTGTGAAAATTAAATCGACTGCAAATTCAGCAAGGTCTGAAAATTCTGGTAGCTAGGTGCACCTACGCCAGGCACTTTATATAGTTGACTATACAAATTGAAAAAAAAAAATAATCAAAATTGATCATAACTGTAATTAAGTCTCAAATCAGACAATTTCTCAAAGCTTTATACTCCGTAGTACCCCAATAAAGTAAACATTCAATACAATAATGCCAGCTTCTGCATATACATATAAACATATACGCAAGTTAGTACATACATACGCAAAAAAATAAATATTTATATACTTTGCAGTTACAGTTGATGATTATATTGATAGTGATAAGTGAGTATAGTCTATACTAATCTTATAAAGAGGAAATATTTGTTTGTTTGTTTGTATTGGACCGATTTTAAAAAGTTCTTTCACTTACGGGAAGCTACATTATACGCGGGTGAAAGGCTATATAATTTACGCGGGTGAAGTCGCGAGAAAACAGCTAGTTTAAGGCTCTCAGTTACTGCCTATCTCACGGTTACTACTATTAATCACGTACTAATCGTAACATCTACTTTGGAAATCTCTGCTTTACAAGATTAGCCTTTGACCGCGGTTTCGTCTGCGTCTTATAATTAGTTACTTTGGGCAATCATTTCAAAAACGCTAAAACAAATAAGTGTAACAATTGCCTAAGAACAAATTTTCAAGACTAACTTTGATAATGACGAACTGGCCTACAAACTTTCATTACCTATATCAGACATAGGTTACTTTAATTTAAGGTAATTAATATAGGGTAATATAGGGTATATAGCTATAGGTCTAAAAAGAAAGAACATACGTACAAATGTTTTCAGCTTATTCCACTATTCTTGGTACATCTCGACGTAATGCGTCTTTGCGTGTGTACGTGCGTGAGTAAGTTCGTGTTTAGTGATAAGATAAATAAATTAAATTAAATTTCGGACAACATCACACACATTGATCAGATTCCGAGGTAAGTAGCTTATGCACTTTTGTTACGGATATCAGAAACAACGGGGGAATACAAATATATACATAATATAAATAGAAAACACCCAGACACAGAACAGACATAATTGTTAATCTCAAAAATATTTGTCCTGGGTGGGGATCGAACCCACGACTCTCAGCGCAATAGTAGGAACGCTACCACCGCGCCATTGAGCCCGTCACCTTTCAGATTCCAAATTTCTACGACCAGCGGTTTAAGCTGTGTGTTGTCAGTCAGTAAGTCAGGATAAAGATTTAAGTGTTATAGATATATAAATAACATTGACGTCGGTGACCATTGTGTTTAGTACCAATCATCCCAGACTGGGTGCGGGGCGAATCATTAGCGTTATGGTCACAGCACGATGCACCGCTTGTTGCGCTTCTCAACGAAACTGTACGACGTGCTACTGACGACGCGCCTGGTGAGACTGTTTTGATCTACTTAGTCAAATGAAATGTTTTTTTTATTCCAATAAAGCGAATGTTAACGTGACATGTAAACGAAATAAAAAAAACGCTAAATTCAATCATTACTATGGTGCCTCTTCAGGATGTGTTAAAATAAAACTTACGCTAAAAGCTTATCATTCAATAAAGACCTAACCAACAGAAAATCTAAGCTAGATTTCAATGTTTCTTGAAAAAATTAATAGCTTTTAACATAAGCATTATTTTTTACTATTTTAAAATTTGAAGTCGGTTCTATTTTTCGAAAAAAATATTTTTTAATAATGCTATACTGTACTGATTTTAAAATAAGACTAACTTTTGGAAATTGTGTGTAAAACTGTTCGATAGGGTCAGGACGCATGCAAGCCGTGGTAGGGTTAGTGCTAGGTGCGAAGGCTGGTGCGCAGCTACTGGCAGCTCCGTTGTGCAGCGCAGCCGTGTGCCGCCACGGCGCCGCACCAGTGCTGCGAGCCGCTACCATACTACTCGCCGCTGCTGCTACAAGTAACTAATCCTCTTTTTAACGAAAAACTTCTGAATATTCAAACAAAATATGTTCCTAATTTTTTATGTTCAGTTCACAAAAAACAGAATTATGTTCTGTGGTTTATTCTCCTGAATTATAAAAGTACATTACTGATGTTGCTTTCACAGCCTTTTTAAGTTTAGTTGACTAGACTTATGTTAAAGATAAAAATAAATATATAGTTTTTTTTAATAACTGCTAATAAGGGTGTAGACCACTTTTTTATATTTTGTATTTTATAGATATACAAGAAATGTATTTATAAAATATGTAAAAATATAAGTAAAAATTTGAAATCAAATTTTAATTTTCAAAATTTCCTGCGATAACGCCTATTCGGTTATGGCGACGCTATGACGTTACAGCACTCTGAAACGTATATCGTTCTATGTAGAGTTCGACCCAAATTGGCTTTTCCAACCGAAACCGAAACCGAATTTCGGCAACGGTCTCAGTTTCGGCCGAAACTGAAACCGAAACTTCCTTACTAAGATTAATAATAATAAATAAAGAAAACGTTTTTTTAATCAGTCAGTCTTTATATTCTTATCTTTAATTCGCAAAGTTATCGGCTTTGACATTTTCATCATGATAATTTTTATAATTAGTCAGCTCACTTATTTTAAGAGTAAACTGTTTATATCGATCAACCAGCTCTGGGGGCATGTGGCGCGGTATCTGGTGGGGCGTGGTGCGTGGGTGCAGGGAGGGCGGCGCAGGGGGCGGGGGCAGCGGGCGCAGGGGTAGCAGGACTTGCATTAGTAGCTGCCGCTACCGCGCCCGATAACAGACAGCGAGCGCTCGGTGCTCTATTGGGCGCTGTCGCACTAGGTGACTGTACCAACCAACCGTGTGATACAAGTTGAATTAACTGTCGGCCTAGTCATTTAATTGGATGCCGGTGTTTAATGAACGTACATAATTCTGAAACTTCTCACTGGTGAGTATGGTTTACTTTATTATAACAACTTCTTTTGTGACACAGGTGTGTTAGTGGGGTATCCTTTCGGGGGAATGGCTAATGCTTTGTGGAATAGAGCGGTTCCGTTTCTGCTCATTGCCACAGCTTTAGTCACTGATCTAGGTAAATATGGCAGGTGGTTAATTTTTTTATACTGTCTATCCGCAAAACATTATTTAAAATTAAGTGGAGAAATTTGACACATTCGTATAATCCGACGTGCTGTTGACTATACTAAAGTTGTTATTACAGTCATGCAGAACATGTTCCTGGACAGAGAAGAATTTCGACAGGCGAGTTATTCTTTATTTATAATGATGTAAAGCAGATAAAATCATAAGTATTTTAAAAGTTTTGAAGTTTAGCACGGGAATTTAAAAGCGACCTATTAATTATTCAAGAAACTGCTTATATTGTTAAACTGAAGTCTATACTAATATTAAAAAGAGGTAAAGTTTATAACTTAGTAGGGGATCTGTGGAAATACTGATCCGCTAATGAAAATTCACTCACCTACGGGAAGCTACATCATACACGTGTGACATGGATAGATTATAATTTATGAGGGCGAAGTCGCAGGAAAACAGTCAGCATATAATATAATTAAACACTGTAGACACGTCCTTGTGGCGTGGGCTGGGCGGGCGCAGGATGGCGCGGTTTATGTGTGGCGCGACGCGGCGCGGGTGGTGCGTGCGCGGGCGCCGTGTTACTCACAACTGCCGTCATGGCCGCACTCGAGCCTTGTCTACCGCTCTATCTTGCTGAAAAATTCCACCCGCAGGTAAAATATTCACTTATTGTGCTTATACACAATATTCGTTATCTTACAAACAACATACAAGTATTGGAATACTTAATTGTTAATTATGGGATTGCTAGCATAAACTTAACCTTACAAACAACTTACAAGTGTTAGAATACTTAATTGTTATTTACGGGATTGCTAGCATGTACTTTATTTCCACAAAAAGTCTAAGAGGTGGTGACAAAAAAGCTTGATATTTCAGTATGTTGAAGTACTAAGGCGTTCTAGCCTGACCTCCGCACTGGGTATTAAGTACATAAGTACTTCAACACTAAAAATCATGCTTTCGAAAGCTCTTGCACATTTTTGTAACGATCTCTCAGTTTTATAGTCGCTTCCCTCTGTCTGTACGCTGAGATCTTTTATACTATATAACGGATTTCAATGAGGTTTTCATCTACACAATGAGAGATTCAAGTGAGATTTAATGTATAGTATAGGACTTCCGCCAGCGAGTTCACTTGCGATAATGGCCATGTAAGCTTAAAACAACAAACAGAAAAGTATGTTTGAAATTAATATGCCTCGTCTATCTATTAATTTATTACATTATTCTCACTATGTAACTATTTGCAATCGATGTATTAAATTATGGGTTTCCAAAATCGGAATGGATGGTCTTTTCTGCTTGCCTCTCTCCAGACTTGTGAATAACAGCCTGTTTTGTTGTAAACTCCGGATCATTAAAATCTTGCAGATCACGTAATATAAAACCCAAGCGGTAAAAACAATTTTTTATTAGTTAGATGATGTGTTGATTAAAAATGTCATCTGGTGAGAAAATGAACATTTAATCATATAAATCTAATAATAAAAAAGTTATTATAATTTAAATAAGAAAAATATAAACGTATGTCTTCGTGAAATATCTCCTTAGTCCTGATACCCGATGGTAAAACGGGGAGAAAGACCAAGGAGCTTTTAGATCACATGAGTTTATTTACCACCAAAAATATGTACTTTATAAAAATAAACAGCACCGACAATAGCTTTACGAATAGTCTTTCAATATATACGAGGGTCAAACTGAAAGTTCTTAGAAAATCAAAAACTGATTACATTAGCCAGTTATTAGTTTTATTATATCTTTTCAAAATATTGTCCATTCACGTCAATACACCGCTGCATGCGATGGAACCACTGGGAAAAGCACTTTGCCCACTCGTCCTTAGGGGTCTCTTCAATGGCATCGCGATACGCAGCCACCGCTTCTTCAGCATTCATAAACCGCTTTCCTTTAAGTTTTTCTTTAATTTTTGGAAATAAATAAAAATCACAAGGCGCGAGGTCGGGGCTATACGGCGGGTGACCCAGTAATTCAACGTTTGATGTCGCCAAATAGTCGATCGTTCGCTTGGCGGTGTGCGACGAGGCGTTGTCGTGGTGAAGGAGGATCCTACTGCGAGGTCGTTTCTCTCGAACTTTTTCCAAGACAAGTGGCAAACAATTGGTAGTGTACCATTCTGCAGAAACTGTTTTTTGATCCTCTAACACAATTGTTGCAAAATGACCTATCCTTCCAAAGAACGAGGCCACCATTTTTTTTCCCGCACTTCGATCTCTCTTCACTTTAGTTGGCAACTCCTCGAAAGGAAACACCCACTGAGCAGATTGTCTTTTGGTTTTAGGATCATAACAGTAAATCCAGCTTTCGTCACCTGTTAGTATGTCGAACACAGCATTTGAGTCACCTCCGTTAAATCTTTCAATCATTTTACGACACCAATCCACACGATGGAGTTTTTGAGCCTCAGTCAAATTATGAGGTATCCACCGGGCGCAAAGCTTCCTGACCGCTAAATGTTCGTGGAGGATTTTGTGCACTTGACTCATACCGATGCCTAAGCTTGTCCGAATCTGTTGATAGGTCACTCTTTTGTCAGTCTCTATCATACGCCGCACAACACAGATGTTATCTTCAGTCGTCGCCGTAGAAGGCCGTCCCTCACGTAAATCATCAGTGAGATTAGTGCGACCACGTTTAAACTCATTAAACCAGTTGTAAACAGTCGCACGAGATGGGGCTTCATCGTGAAAGGCCAATCGTAGTCTATCATAACTTTCTTGTTGACTTAAATGACATCGAAAGTCATAAAAAATCATTGCACGAAAATTTTCTCGTGTTAAATTCATGATGACGTGACACAGACAATTTTCAATTTGCCGCCAAATCGTAAAACAAATGACAAATGAATGAAATATATACTCAGTAATATTGGCAAAGAGTTATATTTTCAAATTTTAGAATTATTTTTTTATTATATTGTTTATAAGTGGCCAGTTCTAAAAACTTTCAGTTTGACCCTCGTATAATAACAATAGACGCGCATGTGCAGAACAAATTGTCAAAATGTCAATATTTAAATTGAAATTAATTAAAAAGATCTTAAACCAAGAAGGTCTCCCTCAACAAGTTATACCTATTACGGAAAACTCAGAAATGGGTTTTTCTTATTATCCTCTAATAAATCAAGTTCTCAAGCTTAGTCAGCCTTTTATTCATTTACCTAAGTATCGAACCCGTCACAAAAGTAAGTGATCTATCAAATGACACGCCTAGATACAATAGGAGTACGTTGCCGAGGAAAAATCTTTTATCGTTGACATTAAATTTCCATAATTTTCTTCACTCCATTCATACACAGTATCGATATTTTGTAAGAGATTGCAATCGGCGTTACACTCAATATATCATGGTATCTATATCATTAATCATCATCAAGGACAGCAAAGGCCTATATTAAATATTAGAGTCTGATATACATACATAGTTACAAATGACTGTTAATTTCGTAGATAATTTATACGTACCGGAGAGCAGTGGCAAACCTTGTACCGAGAAGAACCGCCTGAATATCTTGCCGGTTCTTCTCAGTACCCGCCGTAGATTTGCGAACCGATGGCATAATTTTCGACTTTCACAAGTTCACAAATAGTTTCACAATATCGTTTATTCAGCCTAGACTGAATAAACGATATTGAATTTACCAATCATCTGATCGAGCTGTGCAGAGAAAACTAAAAACAGTTTCTGCAAATAGATGTCGCAATCCACTCTGTCAAAAGCCTTCCGAAAATCGAAATTGTACAATTCTACCTGCATGCCATCAGTAAGGTACTTCTAGGATCCCAGTCAAATAAAGTCAAAATAATCTTTATTCAAATAGAATTCTTCAAAGTATTGGGAACAAAATCGGTATTAATAACAGTATTGAGAAAATCCGTTATTCGGAGACCTCAACGTTTGTTTTCAATATATAAAACAATCCAGGTTCAGCTGCACATAATACAGTACAACAAGTTCATTCATCATTTAAGTGTAATTTCAAGTCCTTAAGTATCTGTTTATATATTACAGCGTTGGCAGACGGGTCTGGTTTTCGTCCCGGACAGCGCTGGGTACTTAGTAGCGGCGACGTTGGCGGGTGGCGCGGCGCGCAGGCTTGGTGCCGAGCGAGTGGCGCTCGTAGCTCAGGCCGCGGTGGGGGGCGCTGCCCTTGCACTACCTCATGCACCCTCAGTATGATGACCTTTGGATATACTCCAATATACAATGACATCCTCTTCGCAGGAAAACTATCCATATCCATCAATGAAAACTGTTGGGAAACATAGAAGTGTTTTATAAATCCACGAGATTTTCGAGCCCGTTAGGAAAGCTATATCTTATACAAACAATATTTTTAGATTTTTCATTTTATGGTGATGTGCAGGTGTGGTGGCTGGCGTTACCGCACGTATGCCTAGGACTAGGCTTGGGCGCGGCGGACGCAGCACTGGTGCCTGCGCTAGCACAGCGTCGTCCACGTACGCTTCCGCACGTTGCCGCATTACTTCAGGCCGCCTCCAGTGTCGCTTACACGCTCGGTACTGTTTGCCCTCTACTGCAGCCCCTTTAGCATCATCTTCAACCTCGATACCGTTTCGTTAATCCATACCGTTCACCTCTTACGACAATCTATGTGCTTATCCAGCAATACCATACATAATGTCCACGTCATTACCATATTGTGCTACCCTTCAACAAACTATTTCATTAGTAGCTTCTGCATAAGTACACGCATTAAAATGATTGATGTTTCGTAATTTGATCAACAATTTTGTGATCTTAGATTACTTACTTCAAATTGATCAAGTTTGTGAATTTATTTCTTTATTGATGATTAGATATGTGTATGTGTATCTCCGGAACAATCTTATGAACACAGAATTGACACTTGCATCGTATTCAAACGAGCAAGTGTTATCTACACAGAACATAGAGAGAGATTAGAAGTAGTAAGTGGGCGGGGCAAGCGTGGCTGGCATATGCGCTTTTACTCATATGACGCCCTTACCTCGGTTTTATGTTTGTCAGTCGTTCGTCAATCGTCGAGTGGTGATTTTACTGATTTTTTCTATAAAAAATACCGTTTTGTGCTATTATCACTTGCAAAAAGCAAAACAAAGTATACAATCTAACTAATGCAAACATTTCCTTTCACTGGTAAGTACAATTTTAGTGCTAAAATATAAAAAACGTAATAATTTGACACAATTTCAAATAAAATATACATTGTTTGCTCAAACCAACATTAATGTTTCTGACCCCGTTTCTTGACAGCAATGTTTATTATTAAGTTTTATTATTATTATTTAATTTTTTTTAATTATTATTATCATTAAGTTTTCTTAGTTTTTGTACTGCGTTTTTTAAAAGATATTTTAATAAATAATATAGGGAAAAGCGTTATTTTTCAATATTCACTTGGTTACAGCAAAATCTAATCTTAATAGTTCGCACATAATATGATGTCCCCAATTTTTTAAAATGTACATAATCTTAAAATATTTTTTCCCTTTTGGTATCCCCGTATACAGCCACGTGACAGTTCAACATTCATGTTAAAGTAAATTATTTATTATCACGTTGAATTAGAGTTTGTTTTTAATCGTGTGATTTCTTAGCTTAGTATCTTTTTGGGATTTTGTTTATGTTATCACGAACGTATCGCGTGGCGGTTTTTCATGTAGTGAACAAAATGATCATTTCATCAAATCTGTATTTGTGTGCGGAGAGGCGACACTCGGTTCCCATACTAAATCAATATCATTATACTTCTATTCTCTCTCTATGTTCTGTGGTTATCTATGACATGCCGACATTTTCACCCACGTGGTACTGTTATTAGACGGTGGTCTTCCATTAAGAACATTTATTATGGAAGATCTTATATTTCTTAAACTCAGTCGAAAACGATAAGACCCTGACGTCACACCACAGCAAGCTTCATGTGCAGGTCCCGTGGTAGGAGGATTGTTATCGTGGAGCGTGGGGTTTGAGTCGATGGTGCGTGCGCTGGGGGTGCTCAACTTGCTTTACGCCGGATATCTCTACCGCGCACTGAAGGAGAATCCCCTTTCTGAGCAGGTAAATATCATAGCGTTTGTTAACAAAATACCGGCTTTCTTTAAAACATCCGATCTGATCAAGACACTCAATGTTGAGTATTGAATCTATATAAAATATTATATCAAGAATTGAGTATTTCACCAGGTTGCGAGTTTTTAAAAGAATCCGTTAGCAAACCACGAACTTATTGCTTAGTTATACATACATAAATAAATTTGTCAGGTTCTGCCTGGGCTTCAAATATATTTATACTTTGTGTCGCAAGCCTAAAAAGTTACAATATGATAGGTATCATGGAATCGATTTTATTGCTGGCATTGTACTAAACCTTTACTGTGACAAACTATATAAATTGGTATAATTATAATGATATTCAGTTACTAACATGATTTTTGAGCTCCTTGAAACTGCTTTTCGGGGTGGGTGCCCCGCTTGTTATTTATGTGTTTAACTATGACTCAAGATTAATAATAAGTGGTTATATGTGATTGTAGTGGGGAGCGAGCACTCCTGATGAGGATGAGGACGACGAAGGCGATATACCTCTCGCTGCTGGGGATTATGCTGTATTGGAGTAGATATAAAAGTATTAAAATAAATATGAAAAATAAAATGGTTCCAGTGTTTGTTTTAAAAACTTGACAACTATCAACTGTGTTGTGGCCCTCAATAGCTTAACGTGTTTTTCAAAGTATGTGGAAGCTCGAGGTAATACATTAATATATAATAAAGTTGCTCAACTTCCACAGCGCAGACAAAACGCGTTAACCTCCGCACCGTTTCCAGTTTCTCTAACCACCCATACATTTAAAAATAATTTTCCAATGTTTATTGTAGGTACTACCGTGATATTCATATTTTTTATTACTCTACATACATTTATATTCATAAAAGAATGGACTACTCTTCGCTCGCGTTCGTGCCGGGTGAATTATTAATATTCATAAAGTAATTATTTTAGTATGAGCAAAATATAATAAATTATCTAGTCATAGCACAAATGTTATTAATTATAATGTTATAAAATAATTATGTCAAAACATACTATTATAAAGTTGATGATTAGTTCTAGTTCAAAGACCGCAATATATGGAATCCAATACAATAGGTTTCGCTTTGTTCTACGCTGACCAACGACAACAAATTATTTTACACACAGCTGCGTGTGAGATACCACAATATGTCAAATTTCTGCAATGGATTTTGACCTCTATACTCAGTGTATTAATGTATAAGATCAAGTATGGTAATGCCATCATAATGATAAAATTGGACAGTTTTTGTATATGCTGACGTGCTGCTGTACATATGCTATGTCCTACAAACATTGATAATGGTTTTTATTTTAATAAATATCGCCATAAGATCGTATTCTATGACTAGAGAGGTAGGTCGCACTCCTGAACGAGTGGTAGAGAAAAAAAATTGGACGATTTAAAAGTGCTTACAATAAGCTTATTTCAATAAGGTATATTTTCATTAATTTTCGTTAGCCTCCCAAGTAGCACATAAATAATATATTAACTAAAATAAGTACCGATTTATGTCCTAAAGTCATACTAATATTTTTAATCAGCTCTGGTCAAGTTTCGAATCTGTTTAAAGGCATTTATTTTATCTAATAATGCTTAATGCCATATTATGGTTAATAAAAAAAGTATACCAATGTCAAAACTCTTATTTAAGTATTGGGTAATATTAATATAAAGCTGTTATCGTATTTCGGTGATATGAAAAACATTATATATTATATAAGCATTAACGTAATACTATTTAGTGCACTTAGTTGTATTTAGTCATTTTTTAGAAACAAAGGTTTTCTAATGGTCTATGGTTGTATCGATTTAATGCTTATCCTATATACACATTGAATAAAGAACTAGTAAAACTTTAGCACCGATTTGTTCTTAAAGTATTCTTTAATCAAGCTCAAGCTCCTTTATCTTCTTAATCTACGCTTTTATAAAACATTAAGCTATATTGATCAATATTAAGTTATTTATAGAGATACAAGTAATAAATAGATCGTAATTATTTTTTATGTGAAATTAAAACGTAAAATTATTTTATGTATTGTATTGTAATGGTGGCATTTTATACGCATCGCTGGCGCCATGGACAAAAAACGTTGGGAAAAACAAAGAAAACAGGTGGATATAAATGAAAACTGAAAAAAGAGTATTCTAATTTAATTGAAGCTTTTAAAAATCAAAATAAAAATGAAATAATCGTTTGATGATTATAAGCACCATAAGATACTTCTGAAGTGTAAAAATACGGATGTAACTAAAATGGGAGTGTGTTATACAGTGAATTACGAGCTCTTAGTTTTGTGTCTAACCATAATACGATTAACAGCTCTACTACACCATATTTGAATACCTAATGCTTTAATTTTACGAGTCGCCATTTGCTTTCTTTTTCCAATTCTTACAAAATATTTAAAGTCAACTGTGTCAGATGAAAAGGGGTAAATAATCATTTATTTTGTGCACAGATGCCTATAAAAGCAATTATGTTGTTAAAACAATGCTAAAAAGCCTAAAATTCAACAAAAATTTTTGCTACTAGGTTAAATTTTTTATTATTTTTATTATATTAAAGGAAGTTTGCGAAGGCGCGTGTATTTTACACCATAAACTTGTATATTTTACTCCACAAACTGATGTGTGCAGCTTATTTCACACAAAACGAGCTGTTTAAATCAATATTCAAAAATACTTAAAAGACCAGCCAAGAGAACATGTCATGTCACTTACACAAAACAATAATTTAAACCGATTATATGTTTTTAAAATCTATTAAATATACTTTTTTACAAAGGAAATAAAACAATAAGCATTTTTATAATATTAAATTAACGTATTATAATTTTGATTTACGCATATCAATTGTAATATAGTCACAAAAAGTTCAATTAGCACTTTAAGGTGCTAATTGAACTTTTTGTGGCTATTAGAATGCTTTTACCCGACTTTATTAATGCTATTATACAAAGGTTGTAGTGCTATTGCACAGCTTTTATAAAGCTTAAAGTCGTACAAAGGGGGGGCCCAAATTTTATGTATAAGAGTCGTTTAAAAGAAATACGGTTGATATACGATTTTATTATAATGCTTAACGCTTGGACTCGTGCTATTATAAGTTTGATATAATGGTGTTTTGTGCTACTTGGGCTATTAACTCTATGAGGTTGTGGATGCTTTACAACTAATCCTGTGTATGGTGATTACCTCCAGATCTATTTTCTTTTTGCCTCAGATCATTATTATATCCACTATTTCATGCAAGAAGCTTATAAAATAACATAAATGATTATTGATTTGATGGCATTACCATATTTGTAACCCTTTTATGAGTATACAATAACCTATAAAAAAAAGTACTTTATGACCGTGATGGGCAAAGTTTCTCTATGACCATAGGTAAGTGGGAATAAACCTCCGTGGTGATACTTCCATAGCTTTAGGATTTTGGCGATATCATTTGTTTCCTCAAAATCAAGCG